GATTTTATACCACCACCAAGGGATCTTTAACGTGCACAAGTTACACACGTGCCCTCCGAGATTTTTCGCCCTTGTCTTAGCAGGCTAGGTGTAGATCTTTCCTACCAGAAGATCAGGGGTGTGGCTGAAAGACAGCAGTAAGAAGGAGCCAAGGAGTATCAGTAGAAAGGCTGCAGAAAGAGTCAGGAGCCCAGAGGAGGGGGTAAAGGAGGTGAGGGGGTGGGGGCAGAAAGTGGAGACGAAAGCAGACGACAGAACATTGCTAGAGAGCAGGAAAGGAGGTGAAAGGAGACAATTTTAGAGAAGAAACAATTTTAGCCGCTACCCGGATTCGGACCCGTGATCTTTGAATGAGAGGTGAACACCTTAACCTCTAGGCCACGAGAGCCCCCTCACATGACGTGTACACAGTGTCAACAGTAACATACAGACTTATGTACATACATGTACACACTGAAACATACAGACTTATGCGCAAACATGTACAGTGACAACAGTAACATACAGATTTATGTACACACATGTAAACACTGTAACATACAGACTTATGTACACACTGTAACATACAGATTTATGTACACAACGTAACATACAGATTTATGTACACACATGTATGCACTGTAACATACATATTTATGTACACACTGTAACATACAGATTTATGTACACACTGTAACATACAGATTTATATACACACATGTACACACTGTAACATACAGATTTATGTACACACATGTACACACTGTAACATACAGATTTATGTACACACTGTAACATACAGATTTATGTACACACATGTACACACTGTAACATACAGATTTATGTACACACTGTAACATACAGACTTATGTACACACATGTTCACAGTCAGACGTACATGTATACGTGGATGCTTGGTGGGTGCTCTTGTAGAGTTTTCTTCCCCTTTCCTCCCAAGCATCTATTGTCCTTATCTCTTTCCTACCAAGCATCTATTGTCCTCATCTCTTTCCCACCAAGCATCTATTGTCCTTATCTCTTTCCTACCAAGCATTTATTGTCCTCATCTCTTTCCTACCAAGCAT